GCTTGCCCCCGGCGATTGTCTGAGTGGAATCCTTTGGAGATTCATCCTGCGATAAGGCTAACGTGATTACTACATCGCGTTGTACGAAGTCAATGGGACGTACGATATTCAGCAACTCGCGGCAAAAGTCTGGGGCCTTGTACTTTTTCAGATAAAATCCGAAGGAAAGTGCCTAGGAACAAAAAATTCGGTGCACACATAAATCGAACCTTTGCTAATACAGCGCTGCTTTCAAATTTTGAGATTACCTCTTCTGGCTTCAAAGCAACCCTTTGAAATCTTGGCGAGTCCGACTGTCGTGGCAAGCAGACAGTCATGATGAATTCGTCCCACGTCTTTACGATGACTGTTTATTTCACCAGGCAAATATGCGATGTGATAAAGCAAGCTTTTGGCTACAACGTACTGCAAAGAAATTTTTTTCGCAGGTTTAGGAAAAAATTTTAGAATTTTAATTGAAGGCAAGTGTACTCGTATACTGGAAATCTGGTTGCGAACGGGAGCGAAGAATCGTAATCTGAAAAATACTGAAATTGCTTGATCGATCGAACTTAAGTACATGTTTGCACAGAAGACTCGTGGAAAGAATATAGCCTAGAATTCAGTGCCTGCTGTGCTCCTATAGCTTTAAAATTTATTTTAAAGAAAAAAGACCGCAGGTAGTATTCACAAATTTTTATTTTCCGTTTTCGAAAGAATAGTATCTGACAAACGCAACGGCTAAGAGTTGATAGTCTCCTCTACATTATGTGCATCGAAGTGTTGTAGATTATCCACTGTATCTTTAGTTACGAAAAAGTTGTGAAGACCAAAAATTTCGATTTTCTTGTTTTGCAGAGCACTTGTTTGATAAATCCAACTCCTACAAAAACATATGGCAAGCATTTTCAGCCAGCCAAAGTGTGATTTGTAGAGGATGATAGCAGCAATATGTGGCACAAATTTGGAGTCAAAATCATTAGTAGTTTATTGATTTACAGCACTGCAAAGTAGACTCCCAGACTTTTGCCCCACACTGTAAGAGGATGCGAATTTAGGCACGTTTCTATTAGGTTGTCCCGAAAGTTTTGTCGGTTTTTTCACCGCTCACCAAACCTCACAAAACACCAATTCATGAACGGCCTAGGCGCCATTCTGTTCATTTTCTTGTCCCCTTTCTTATAGCTATATTTATTCCCTGACCTATCCTGTCTTTGCGATGTTATCTCAATGGCGTTTTGAGCACCTCAGCAGTAGCGCCAAAAATTTCCTGAATTTTCAAAATTTTTATCTTGATATTTTCGACGAGCGCTGGTGACTGTTATGTAGGGCAAACCTTTGGCTACATTGTACCCATTTTAGATTACGTGGGCCACGTTTATCAAGTCCGTAATGATTATTTATTTGAGAAAAACCCGGCTTTTTGGACACGTTTTACCACGTAAAATTACCGAAAATTCCAAAAAGCTGATTTTGAAGCAAATCAAATTGGTTATATTGCATAAATGATGTTTAATAGCGAAAAAGCTTGAATTCGCAAAAACTTCAAAAGCTTTCATGCTTTTGCTGCAATTGCGCGTTTCATGACTTTGCTAAAAACCAAGGCCTCCGGAGAAATAATTTTTAGAGTTAAAATCAGCATATTAGGAGAATCCAAAAATACCTAGTTGTAGCCCGAGAGTTGCTCTACTTGACTCATACTTAGTCTTTCTTTGAAACTTTGTAATGAAATTTCTAAATATCAGCTCAACTTTGAGCAGGCGAAATTGACAGGTGGAGAATTTTGGCAATTATCAAAAAAGCATGCAAGATTATGGTATGAATGTGTATCCGTAAGAAAGAGAAGGAAAAGCTGCATCGAATGCATATTAAAACTCACTCAAGTCTTTTTTGTGCGTGGTTTTACAATGGTTTGAAGAAACCGACAAAACTTTCGGAACAACCTAATATTTCTGTTATCACTGTCACTAGACTGTCAAATGACAAGATATTCGAAGGATGTATTGCTTTGTACAGCGCGTGATCGAATGCATCATAGACATTCTCGGTAGTTCTCGATGTTAACCAACACAACCCAATAGACCAAATTATCGGCAATACCTCAAACTTGGGTAATTAAACCCCATTCACAAATAACTTTATAACAAAATATTAGGCTGGTGCAAAAGTTTTGTCAGTTTTTTCAATCCACCGGCAAACATGCTAGAATGAGGATAAACACATACTTCAAAATGTGTCCGATGCAGAATTTCTTCCTCTTTCCAGCTGCTTAACTCACATTGTGTTTCGTTGCAAGAATGACGAGATATTTGCTGAAAATTGCAACCACTCATTTCTACCATGTCCAACTTTCGTTAACTTTCAAAATTTTTGTGTAAGACTTTCTGAAGAGCCCTAATAACCAGCAGATAGGGCAAACCTTTCGCCAACTAGTGCATTTTTTTCCCTTTTTAGCTGCTTTTTCAGATTTTTGTTAAATAATTTTCTAAAAGTGTTGTGTTTTGGGAAAATCGTATAACGTGTTATTGCACTAAACACTGCAAAACCTACAGAATACTGAGGTTCAAACACTCGATTATTACTACCGCAACCATTACAAAGTAAATGAGCGATTTTTTGCTTCAAATTATGAAGATTTTGAAACATAGGTTATGTCGGTGCGCACTCCTAAAATTGAGAAATACTGCGATTTTTTCCACAAATTTCGCCTGTCTTGGCGAATAAACACAAGTATTAGAAGGAGGAGAAAAAGTTGCATGGAATGGTAACTGAAGTGTTTAACATTTTGTGTTTTACGAGGTTAAAATAGGCTGAATGTAAAATTTAGTCATTTCTAAAAATAAATCTTAAAAATTTAAAAAAACCGTAAGGCTACAAAAAACTGCATCTGTTGGCAAAAGATTTGCCCTATCTGCTGGTTATTAGGGCTCCCCCAAAAGTCTCATACAAAAACTTTGCAAATTAGTGAAAGTTGGACATGGTAAAAATGAGTGGTTGTAATTCCAGCAAATATCTCGTAACTCTTACAACGAAATCCAACGAGAGTTTAGCAGCTGGAAAGGGAAGAAATTCTGCATAGGACACATTTTGAAGTCTTTGTTTATCTTCATTCTAGCGTGATTGCCGATGGATTGAAAAAACTGACAAAACTTTTGCACCGACCTAATATAACGAAGAAAAATCAATACATACTACTACACTGATAAATAATTGAACTATCCTTTTTGGCGCACATTCATAATCTGAACTTCAGAAAAATCTACTCTAATATTTTGAGTCTTACAGCAGGCGCACTAAAATGGGAGACGGTCAAGAGGCGCGATTTTTTTGGCCACGCCCTTCGCTCATATTGCCTTCGTGCCCTAATCGCTACAGCCGCGTGTGCTCGGACGCGTTGCGGCTGTTAGGATCACTCAAATCTCGTGCAGTGAACTCGTCCAATACCTCACCGCATCAGATCACGCCGGCGAGGACGAAAAGGACGCTGCTGACGTCACATGGAAGGTTTGCAAATCGATTCGAGGAAATCCTCGAATTTATCGTATCGAGGTGCGCTTTTTTTCCTTTTTCGTCATTTTTTCTCCTTTTTTCATCTGTATCAAATTCAACCTTGAGAACTGCTGGCTTAGGGGGTATTTTTCGTAGGAACATTGCTATCTTACCAAATTTACCTCTTTAGTCAGCTCTTTCTCGTTTTCTTTTCATTTTGAAGTTTTCATATGAATTTCCGTAACATTTGTTTGATGTTTTTTTTGCTTATGTCTGTTTTTCATGTTTTTTTTTGCCTGGGTCTGGAATTGGAGGATTTGCAAATAAATATCGAGGACTTCTCGAATCTGTGAAAGGTGCGCTTTTTTTTCTTTTTCGTCATTTTTTCTCCTTCTTTCATTTGTATTAGATTCAACTTTGAGAACTGCTGGCTCAGGGGGTATTTTTTGTAGGAACATTGGTATCTTACCAAATTTACCTCTTTTGTCAGCTCTTTCTTGTTTTCTGTTCGTTTTGAAGTTTTCATATGACCGTACCATTTGTTTGATGTTTTTTTTTGCTTATGTTTGTTTTTCATGTTTTTTTTCCTGGATCTAAGCAGGGTGAGTCTTTGCCAAATACCTTCTTTTTCTTCTTTTATCACAGAACTTTTGTTTCATCTCACTTGCTTCGTAGTTTTTTTTTGCTAGAAAGCCTAAGTGATCATACCATTTACCTTCTCAGTCAGATCTGAGTGTTTTTTTTCATTTTTTTGTCTATTGCTCGTTACAGATCATTCCTTCTTGATTTTCTTCCAGCAAAGGCGCGATGGTGAGTTTTGCTCAGTTGTTTTTTTATACTTTCTTTTTCACTAAGGTTTTTGACTGCAAATGCCTGGTGAATAATCAAACTTACCTTTCTTGTTGTAAATGAACCGTTTTTTTTATTTCTTTATGTTTGATTAGAGATTTAGTTAAATACAACATCTTTACTGCCTTTTTTAGCCTTTTTTACTTTGCAGAACCTCGATAGGGTGGGAATTTCTGCGACCTTCTTCTTTTTTGCCATACATTTCGTTTTACCGTTGTTTTCGCACCCAATCGCTGGCTGAGGGAGTTCTTGCTAGCAAGTTCAATCTTTACTACTTAGTCAGCTTTGAGTTTTTTTTTATAGTTTGTCCATTGTTATGCTCTTTTAACCTCCAGCATTTCCAATTTTTATGTTTCGTAAACTTTCAGCTTAACTTTTTTAGTCAACTTAGGACTCTTATTGCTCGAATCACTTGCTGGCCGGAGGGGTTTTTTGCTAGGAAGTCTAATCTATCCTACCAACTTGCCTTTTTGGTCAGCTCGGCTCGAGTACTATTCTTTTTGCATGTTTTGCTTTATGTTCATATGTTGTCTCTCTGGAATCTTAACCCGGTCGGCCATCAATCTCACACAAGAGAACTGTCCTCGCATATAGGTTAACTCGTTTTTTGAGGTGTGAATCATGCGTGGCACGCTTCGGTTGGCTATAAAAAAGACCGCAATGTAATTACACTTTTCAGACTAATGTCGCAACATCTCTTTGAACAGCTTACTCTCGTGAGTGCGTCAGCACTCACTAACTCTATTTTCAGCATTACTGAAGATCTGAGCTTGCCTCTGAAGGCGAGCCCGCAGACTCCTGCAGTGGGTGCGTCAGCATCCGATAATTCTATTTCCAGGAGTGCTGGCGATTCAAGCTTGCCTCTGGAGGCAAGCACGGACCTTTCCGCGGGTGCTTCGTCACCCGTTAATTCTACTTTCAGGAATGAAGAAGAGACAGTGCAAGCCACTGTTTATCGTGGGACGAGAGAGCTAAGCCAGCGAAAGACGAAGGAGGTACTCATCTATAGGATTCCGAATACAGAGAGCGCGTACACATTCTCACTCGCGCGGAGGAATAAAAACTGGGATGTGTACACCTGCGCTCTATGTAAAAAAGGGGGATCGTGGAGGACGATCAAAGTATGTTCTTAAACAACGTGTGCACGAACCTTCTTGTTTATTTCACATGGATGTGATTTCTTATAGGTGATCGGCGACGAATTCTTGAGCAATACCTGCAGTATTGCTCACATATGTACACCTGTGCCCTATGCCAAGGATAAAGACAACAGGCTGGCATATGAGGTAATTGATCAACATTGCAAATGACAGTTGATGATCCAACTACTATTAAAAATTGATGAGTTGAAGTAAACGAATATCATGTAAAAAAATGAGTATTTATCGACATTTATCTCAAATATTATGAATGTGCTTACATATTCAGGTGGTCTGTGACATCAAGAGCAACCAGTTATATGCTGGGCGATGTCCACGGCAGGTGTATGAGGAGGCTCTATCAAAGACAGATGAGCTATACGATGGTGAGAATATTCATATTAGTCATTCAAACATTTGCTTTTTGAAATTTCATCATTTGAGTCTTTGAGAAGATTTATAAGTATCAAAGTACTTCAGAAGACGTGGTGATGGCCTTCTACGGCGAGGGATACAGCCAGCGTCGACAAACGATCTCTAGGTAGTAAGTTGCTTTAGAGCTTTATTCTGCTGATTAACATATTCTAGGGCCATCAACACTTTCAAGGATAGGGAAGTGACGCTCCAGAACATCCCGGACGACCTGGTCTTCCTACAAGACGGGACTAGGTTCGTCCACGTCCACGTAATGGAACCACAGCTGCACATATATTATTCTGAAAAGACCATACAGGTACGACTTTTGTAAATAGCAGTGACACCGTTCTCTAAATGTTCTATCCCATCTATAGAAGACTTGTGCAAATGACCTCTTTGCTGTGGTTGCTGATGGAGTGCACTCGAATCAACCGAAGAACCTGGCGCAGCTCTACTGCGTTCATGGAGTCTGCGCCGGTGGTGTGGAAGTGCCCCTCGTGTACGCCCTAACTGCACGTAAACACGAGGCAACGTACAGGAGGATATTCAAGTGTCTCCAAAACAACTTTGAGCTCTTTCGACCAAGGCCAATGCAGCGCCTCAGAGTTGTTCTGGATTTCGAACATGCTGCCATCAATGCAGCTTACAGCTTATTCCCAGACGCTGTAGTCCAGGGCTGTTCGTTCCACTTACCACAGTCCTGGAACAGGTAAGGTAATCACCAAAAAATGTTTTAGTGTTTAACAAGCATAACGTCACAGAAAACGGGATAGCTGCAGGATAACCCGTTTCATAAGGGGGCCTGGAAGAGATGGCGTTGTAGAAGAATGGTGGGACACTATCAAAGGTGTCATATTTCTACCCAAAGGGCTGCGCTCTGAAGTCAGAGCCCTACGGTAAGTGGGATATAAATACAGGGAAACAAGAAAAAAAAAGAAAATATGAGCTTTATCTTACAGTGCCCCACCCGTCTCGAGCGAACACCCAGCATATGGCAGCTGCTGGGATTTCCTAAATTATCTGACCAGTACTTGGTTGACTGGTCCATTCGAGGATCTGTGGTGCAAATGGGGGATCACAGACCTCCGCACCACAAATTTAGCTGAGGCTTTTCATAAGTAAGTCTTGGTAAACTTTTTATAAAAAACAAGCTGGCAAACCCGGCTCCGCCCGGTCCTGTCAATAATACATTCGAATCAGCATGTTCACTTACCCCCTTTACACCCTGCACAGCCTGCACAATCTGCACAACCTGCACAACTTGCACAACCTGCACAACCTGCACAACTTGCACAACTTGCACAACCTGCACAACCTGCACAACTTGCACAATCTGCACAACTTGCACAACCTGCACAACCTGCACAACTTGCACAACCTGCACAACCTGCACAACCTGCATAACCTGCACACCCTGCACCCGAATGTGCACAAACACACAAACTCACAGAGTTTCTGCTTTATATATATAGAGATAATGCGTTGTATTTCAGTAAACTGAACGCCACCTTCACGGGTGATCACCCCGACATGCGCACGCTACTGGAAAAGCTGCGCACGCTTGATCTGGAAGCTAAGTGCAATTTACGATGGAGTGAGATGGTAAGAAAAAAATTATTACTTTACGAACTTGTGATAGAGAGAAGTCCTTGCAGAACCCTGGCGTCGACAAAAGGATTCGAAGAAGAGATTTGGAAAGAAGACAAAGTGTGGAAGAAAGTATGGCAAGGTAAGCAGTCCGTAAACATAGGTTTCATAGATACCAAATATTCAGATTTGACGCCGCTTACCGAGCCGGAGCAACGGTGGCTCAAATCGAGAAGTTTTGCCGAGACATGTCTCGGTTTATCTCAGGGAAAACAGTATGATTGATTTGTAGTTGTTATTTTTACATTCTGTTGATTTGTTTGATTTGTAGTCGTTATTTGTACATGTTGTTGATTTGTTTTGTTTTATTATGTAACATTTCATGTATCTTGCTATAGGGGATGAGTTGTGGATGGACGGGAGATATGAGGGAGGAAGGGAGGATGGACGGGGTGTGTGGATGGAGGGTGGAAGGAGAGGGGGTGTGAGGGAGGAAGGGAGGATGGACGGGGTGAAGTGTGGATGGAGGGTGGAAGGACTGGGTGAGGTGTGGATGGAGGGTGGAGGACTGGGTGAGGTGTGGATGGACGGAAGATGTGAGGGAGGAAGAGAGGATGGACGGGGTGAGGTGTGGATGGAGGGTGGAAGGACTGGGTGAGGTGTGGGTGGACGGGAGATGCGAGGATCGAAGATGTCAAAGTATAGGAAGCGACAGGGTACAAGGAGAGAAAGGGTGGAGGCGGGTGGGCGAAAGATGAAAAAAGAATCACATTAGAATTGAAAGTAGAATGTAAATGCAGCCGTGATATGGACGGAGGAGGGAGTGGATGGGTGGGTGATATGAATTATGGACGAACGGTGGAGAGATGAGGGTGGATGGGGAAGAGATGTGGCTGGACAGGGGAGAGATATGGATGGGGGAGAAATGTGGATGGATATGGAGGGTAGAGGCGGGTGGGCGAAATATCAAGAAAGAATTCCGTCAAGACTGAAAGTAGAATGTAAATGCAACAGTAAAAGAGTTATACGGGCAAGGGCGGGTGGGGGAGAGACGGATGGAGAGGGAAGATTTGCTAGTGTGGTAAAAAAAGCTCAAACTAGCCCCGCCATCAGCGATATAGAGAGCAAGATGCAACGAATAGATACTTTCAACAATAACGTTTTATAATCAATAAATAGAATGTCTACGATAAATATGTAAAGATTAGAACACAGTACCAAGTAGGTCTTGTAAAAAATGTAAAATAAAAATTGTTACATAAAGACTGTGACAGCAAAAGCACCAAAGAAACTTACTTAAAAGTTTGTAATGGGATACTGAGAATGAGAGAGCTTCCCCTACAAGCTGAGTGGTTCACATGTTCACCGAAATGTGACGACACGACACACAGTAGCAAAGGACAGTTCAATCGAATCTAATCAATCCAATCAATAATAAAAAAAACTTACTTTTGTACACAGCCAATGAGCCAGCAGCTTCATGAGTATATAAAGCAATCTGAAAGACATCAGGACTCATGGATATCAAAGAATCTAAACATGATGAAACAAAGAAAAGATTGACTCAAAAGAGGAAGAAAGGACGAAAAACTCACTTGAGCGCACCAAGGCTGGAGAAATGATTTAATCCTTGACATAGTGGCACTATCGTCGTCGATATAGCGTAGAAAAAAATATTTTTGGTGTGCTATCTGCACTTGCGACAAATGCGCGGTCACTTCCAGAAAGTTCGGGAACTAGCAAAAGCGACCGATTTGCTGATCGACGCTGATCAGATGATCAAAAGTGTTGACAAAACATAAAAAGGTAACACAGGCTATTATACAAATGGCTCCCTTCAGCTAGCAAATGAGATAAAAGCAAATAAAACAATAACACGAGTAGAAAATAAAAGAAAGTTGCAAAGAATATAACAAAACTCACCTCGCTTGACAACGAAAGAATAAATCATAAAAACATATGTAAGCAATGCAAGTAATAAAAAAACCTGCGTGAAAATGACAGAGAAATGGCGAACTAAGATTTAGGAGAGGTATATGAAATGCCGACTAAAGAGGTAGATTTGGTAAGATACCAATGTTTCTACGAAAAGAACCCCATAAGCCAGCAATTTCTAAATTTGAATCTGCTACAAATGAAAAAAGAAGAGAAAATGATGAAAAACAAAAAAAGCGCACCTCGATACGATAATTTTGAGAATTTCCTCGAATCTATTCGCAAAGTGAAGTGAGCGCGACGTCGCTCTCCAGGTCAACGCGGTGAGATGAATGATGCCGGGGACGAGTTACTCGGCCAACTCTGGCAACCGCAACGCGCTCTTCACGCGTAATTATTGTCATTGGGGCGGTTTGTATTGGAGCACGTTATCCAAATCGCGCCTCTTGACATACACCCCTAAAAGCTTAGCCTTCAGAATTTTTAGTCGGGCACATAAAGGGCCGTACTCCCTACTTTTTTTTCGGCAGTATAAGAGAGGCGTAATTTTAAGCGCAATTGCTTATGAAAGGAAATAAGAAAATTTTTCTAAAGAATTACAGCCATACAATGCTTCGAAGCTGTTGCTATGTCTCGCTCCAACATCGCTTCCCGCCGTGTTGCTTGTTAAAGGCGCAGTTGAATTCTGTAAAAGATGAGCCCATTGAACGAATCATTTCTGCTGCGGAACTTATGAAAATTGCCGTCCCGTTCTTCTAAGTCACTAGCTAAGATAAGAATATGCAAACATAAAACACAGAGCTTTGTAATTGCTTCAGATAGAAAATCTGCACGACATAAAGCACTACGAAATTCTACAAAAGACATAAAGCATAAAACAGCCAGCTTCAAATCTTTCTCGACCACGACCTCATCCGCGTTCTGTGGCTGTATTTAACAATCTCCTGTATGTGAAGGGGTTTCCGTACGGGAGATTCGGGCAACAAGACTCTTTCATTTGTAACTCTAAAAGGTAAGATTAAATGCAACACTAACCTGAGTCTGTCACGTCAGATGAATAGCCGCTCCAGACGGGTGTGTTTGGCTCATATGGCACCAAAGAGATTCCTGACAAATACGGCCCTTGATCGATGCTTATATGGAAGAGTTGAGTAAAGTTAAATTGCATCAGACACACTTGCGTCCACCACACTTGCATTTGGATGTGAAAGGAACGGAAGAATGTTGTAGTAGCCTTGGGAACTACTTGTACTTGATTACTTTTGTTCAATTTTCCTTTTGGACTTCAATTTGCCTTTTGGTTCATATGATTTTATGTTATGTTAAGTACCAGTTATGAGATCTAAATGATTAGTTCGATGCTTTCTTTCGTTCAGATAATTCTGAACAGCCTTTGTTACACCAAAAAGGTTCAGGTTATGGTTTTTCCGAACTTTTATGCCAAATGGACTTACCTCTGCCTAAACTTCTGTAATGATCCATTATGACCTTTTGTGGGGCTAACGTTACATGGTCGTAATGTCGCTGCGCTATAAGTATCTGAAAATTTCCAACTACAATTTTCGGTCTTACTTTTGACTTAAAGTACATACTAAACGACACATTGCAAAGCAGCTCATTTTTGTGCACATGAAATAGATCACTGGCTAATAAGCCGCTTTCTGCATCAAAGAGAGGCTTTGTATACCATAGCGTGTAAACAAATTTGTACAGCCTGAATACCGACACCAAAAGGCAATGGAAGATTCATATCTGAAATTCTTGATTACTAGCGGAAACACGTGCAACTTAACAGCTTGATAGAAGCCAGTTCGAGCAAGGGAGTATTCCTAATTCAAGAAGATCTTTTGTCATTGATACTGCTTGGTGCGAAGTCAATCGATAGACGAACCAAGTTACTTAAGTGCTGTAGATATTTCATTACTTATATAGCTGTTGAGGGCTTGGATGGAGCAAACAGTTGCAGCCATGCTGTTGATTCCAAGCATAGTAACAGAAGACGGTGAATTAGATACGAGGCAATAATAGACAAGACGCATATTTATATCACATTCTCGAACCATGATTTGATTTGTGATCTATGTCGAAGGTTGGAGCAAGCAGAAGCGGGTTATAATCCACGTCGAGCATCTCGTGGCCACAGGATAATGCAACTGTCATTATGTGGACTTGAAATGTTGATCATACTCCTACACGAAATTATACACAATAGGTCCACAACTGGCTGAGAAAATACATGGTAGCTCCGAAGCACACACTATATGCTCTATTTTCAACAGTGAATGAACCTTACCATCGTGTCGAGTGAAGCGTTTACTGAACAAATGTGGAGCAAACATGAAAACCTCGAAGGCAAACTAAAAGAAACATTTACGAAATAATCACAGAGGTTTTTACACCATTCAATCGCCACAAATGTAGGTTGAAGCAAAATTGAAAAGTGATATAAAGAGGTTGATATGAATAACAATATGTAACAACCCACATAAGCGCCTTGCAGACCTCGCTATCACAGTTCTGTGTCTACCTGACGGTGCCGGTGTCATTCCTCGTCTTTTGCTTGCTAGATGTTCTTTCAGCCTTGTATTGTTTGCTCGCTTGCCCTAGAGTAGGCGGAGCACTGCCGACGTACGCTTAGCGGTTGTCGATAGCGAGAGAGAGAGAGAGTACAAAAGCAAGGCTTTAGAATCGAGGTTTATCGATAGATCATTTGACGGCAATGATCCGCCTACTTTGCGAGCGCCCTATACCTAGCATAGCATTCTACCCCTCTCAGTTTCTTAACAACTTAAGCATTCCAACTGGTATACCAACCTGCCTTTGCACAATCTTCAATTTTCCCGAAGGGGCAAACAATGCATTGCTCCAGGACGCATTCATTATCGTACAATTTATTACAAACCAACTGCATCTTTATGTTATCGTTCGGGATGTCTGCCAATATCACGTTATCTTGCAGTCGGACTCGGTGGATGCATTGCCTAATCGCCGCACAGATTTTATCGATATGAATAGAACAAATGGGAACTTCATTTTCGTTTGACGGCTATGCATTTCGCGACTCGCAGTATTTCTGTGCATGTGTTATTGACGAACATATCCGCTACTGCGCACTACCTCCGATGCCAGCTTTTGAGACTCAACCCGCTCCTCGTTGCCCGTACAAACCACCGCAGCAGTTTTCATCATATTGCCGACACCAGCTCGCTTCGTTGCTGCAGAGTGGGCTGAGTTGGCGTGGATCAGGATGTTCTTTGAGTCTCCTTTACGATACCATTTGACATGAAGCATACCATCAGACATTTTGGGAAGACTACGAAGACTGCCCCCCGCCACGTGCCAGGGA